GAGGAGGAGGAGGAGGAAGGGGAAGGGGAAGGGGAAGAAGAAAAATGCATGAAGTTTAAAACTTGGATCTAATCCCCAAACTAAGGGGATCACATGAGAAACAATGATCATGAGAAACAATGATCACGAGAAACAATGTTCCTTTGGGCCTGAGCAGCCCATTTATCTAAGGCACTGTAGGAAAGAGTCGGCGCCTGAAGTATCAACCACAATTTCCAATTTGAATGGGGAATAAACCAGGCTTCTGTGTCCAGGTTCGGAAGCTCTGTGATGTGCTAACCAGGAGTCAGCGCCTGCTGATGGCGTGCACGGGTCCCCAGCACTGTCCTTCCACCCTCGCGGGGGCTGTCACAACGGAGCCCACCTGCCTTCATTGTGGTGCCACCATCCTGGCTCATCAGCAGCTCGGTCTCTACAGCTGTTAACTGGGAATAATGCACCTTTCAATCAATCCTCTCATGGGCAAGCCTCAAAGAACAAAGATGTAGGACTACAGCTATTAACTCCCTTGAAGGACACTGAGGTCAGGAGCATATTTACAAAGAGAAATGAAAATGAACAAGATCGTCCTGACACACACTTACCAAAAATAGCCAAGAGCAACGCAGGTGTGGTCAGCTCGGAGCCTGGCCCTGGGGTTGAGGGGCTGCTGAGGGACGGAGCCGGCTGTGCTGCTAGGGCACGGGCAGCTCACTGCTGGGCAGGTTCTGATCACCTTCCAAACAGGCAGCATGTCATCCAAGGCAGGACCACCTCGTCGTCCTAAGGCACAGTTAGAAATGCTTCGTTGTCTATGAGGGATTATAAATGATTCGTATTTTTCTCTTTTTTTTTTTTTCTAAATACTTTAAAAAAAATTTAGTTGTAGTTGAACACAATACCTTTATTTTTATTGTTTTTATTTTTATGTGGTGCTGAGGGTTGAACCCAGCTCCTCGCACATGCTAGGCAAGTGCTCTAGTGCTGAGCCACAACCTCAGCCCCTCTAAATATAGTGTCTCTCTTCACATTTTCTTGGGATCAACTTCCACTATTTTAAGGTTATCTTTTGAATTCTAACATCTACCAATTTGCTATAATAAAACATAAAAATATATAAAGTCCTTTGAGTACGTGTGTGTGCTCATGCATGTGTGGAGTAAAAGGGACAGTGCCTCAGTTACACTGAAACCACACCCCCATGTGCAGTTGTCCAAGGTCCCATCTCGTCACCTGAGGTCCCATCTCGTCACCCGGGATGCTCCATGGAGCTCCAGACACATGTGGATGTTAGACCCACAAGCCAGCAGGCAGGAGGTCCCCACGATGGCCACCACAGTTCTGTGCTGCCTGGACTGAGCTCCAGCCTGAAGGTGAGATGTACAGTCCTGATGCTGGATTCTGATGGGATCCAGGGGGACGGGGCTCCGGCATCCTGATGGTCCAGTCCTGAGCTGTGTGCCCTGCCCAGGGCAGCCTGGAGCACCCCAAAGACACAGACCCTTGGGGAAGTGTCGCCAGAGGGCTCAGGGGCTGTGCAGGGACAGCTGCCCATGAAGGGGAGAGGACTTCACCCCCACCCCCAGGTCCTGGGTCCTGGAGGCTGCCCCTCAACGCAGCTGACCTTCACTTTCTCACGGGTCAACCCCAAGGGACAGATTTTAGACAAAAGAACTCACCCTGCAGAGAGGAAAGCAGGACAGGAAGCTGAGGTATGGTTCACCCTATCTAAAGTGTCCATCAGTGACCAGAGCTGTGGATCGTGAGCAGTTAGTGACCCTGATGCTCTCTCCCCTAATCTCTCCTCAGGAAACTCACTGATATTCAGAGCCTCAGCTACCTCCCGGGAAGGACTCACGCTTGTGCCTGAAGCCTGAAATCCTGCACCCTGCAACCCATCTGTGCAGCGTGGACCTGGAGTTCCCCTCAGCAGTGTCAGCAATGTCCAGGGCAGGCCAGCCCCGCCTGACCCTGGCCTCCCTCTGACATTGAGTTCTCTTCTAGGGTCCCATCTCAGTGCCAGGGTCAATGGTTGCCCCAGTGCCAGGGTCAATGGTCAGGGAACAGTGTAGTTACCGGCTTTCAAGGCAGGGAGAGGGACAGAGGAAGGTGTGAGGCTTCAGAGCTAGTGCCACCCAATATCCTTGAGTGTGGTGATGTCCCTGTACGCTCCAGTGTGACCCCATGGGCTGTGCAGTGCTCCTGGGGACATGGCCATCAGCAGGAAGGGCCAGAGACATAGGAAACAAACACACTGTCACCTCCTGCTGAAGCAAGGGTCAAGGCTGGGCCTGGCAGGAGAGCCGGAGCACACTCCCAGCCCAGCAGCACAGCTCTGAGAAAGGGAAGACGTCACCATGGGGCTCCCGGGAAGGGCTCTCGGGTGCTGCCCTCGGTGACTCGTGTTCTCCTGGGACAATAGATGCTTTGGGAGCGTAATGGAGAATGTTGGAAGGCAGCGATGGTGGAGGGGATTCTCTGAGAAGGTGGGAGTCAGTGGTAGAGAGGGTCCGGCTCTAGGGCACAAGGAAAGAAGGTCCCTGGAGAGGAGACCACAGGTGCCTTGTACAGCAGGTGCCCAGGCCAGCGCTGAACTGCCCTGTGGTTCTCAGCACAGCACAGGAGAAACCTCCCTGCCCATCACGGCCCTGAACTCCCACGTCCCCCACGTCAGGCACTGTGGTGTGCTCACCAGGACACGCAGGCACCTCTTCACTGGGGTCACAGTGGTCACGCTGACAAGCACCGCTGGGCCTACCTGATGTGCCTTCCACCCAGAAACACACCCAAAGACAGCAGCCACATATGTGCCGTCACACACCCTGGCCAGTGCCTGAGTCCCTCGGAGAGCTTCCGGTTTCCCCCGGGTCTCTAAAAAACCGTTGGCCTGAAGCATGTTCTCGGTACCCTGCAAGCTGGAGGGGCCTGATGTCCTGCCCAAGGTCCTCCATGTTCTGAAAGCTACTTCCACACTAGGGGCTGCACACGTGGCCTTAAGCCCATCGCTCCTGGGCCCGTCAATCACGCTGCTCCCACGTTCCAGAAGAAGCAGGTCTCAGAGCATAAGCGATTTGAAGTCACATTACTAGGTGCAGATCTTTAGTTAAAAACTCTATTTGGTTTCAAAATTCTTCCTTTACAGGTCTCAGCTCAGCCTACATGTCCCCGCAGTCCCCGTCGGGTGGAGATCCTCAAAGGCTTGCTCGGTCGCTGGCGGGGTGTCCAGAGGTCAGGAGCAGCAGGCATTTCCTTCCTGGCACTGGGGGCTGGTTTCCTCCCTGGTTTCCCAGGTCAGACCTCCAGGAGAGAAGGAGCAGCAGCTGTGTTCACTCCCCCTGAACAGGCCAGGCCATCCCCTGCTGGACGTGAACCTAGATCAGCACTTGGCCACAACTCCAAGATGCGCTTCCTTCAATGACATGATGGAAAAAATAATGACACTACACCAAGTAAATAAGTGTATGTAAACGAAAACACTTCTGAGCCCAAACTACCATATTATTATATAACACGTCTGTATTGCTTGTGTTATTAACTGTGACATCTTCCAAAGAAAATAGTTCTGTGACTAGGAAAAAACCCAAGATTTCAAAATAATACTTCTAGTTCTTCAGATGAAGGCATATTCTGTTGGTTCACAGCTTTCAGTTGCCATGACAAAACCCCTGAGAGAAACAAGTTACAAGGACCAAAGGTTTACTTTGTCTTTGGTCCATGGTCATGTGGTTCTATTGTCTCTGGGTCCCTGGTGAGGCAGAGCATCATGGTGGGAAGCACCCACCTCCAGGTGGCCACGAGCAGAGAGAGCTCACCTCTGTCACAAATCTCCCCACAAATCGTTAGCATGTGAACCCAGCAGGATGAATCCCGACGGGTCACAGCCCTCAGGAGCCTGTCACCTCCCCGAGGCCCACATCTGCCCTGGACCAGCCGTGACACTAATGTTTGGCTGCCAGGACACTAAGTGTTTTAGTATCTTTGTGCTAGCTGTGTTGGGCTTCTCAAACTTAGAAAAACTTAATAATTTCTCACAGAACGTGGGATTTACCCAAATGGTTGCAATCAAACTAGGATTAAATAAGTAAGGATTGATACGGAGTGTGTGACCACGCCAGCCAACTGCTGTCCAGGAGCGTTGAGATGTATTTATTAGCAAGTCCTGGGCTGGGAAGGTGGCGTGGCAGCAGGAGCAGGCCCTGGGCCCTGGCCCATGGCCTCGTTCCCTGTGTGGGGCTTGGCCATGGCCTGGCATGGGCAGGAGGCCCAGGCTGGGGTCAGGCCTGAATTGGGTTCCATGTCCTCTGTCCATTTCCACATGGGATCTAAGAAGGCTCTCCCTTTGTTTATTCTGGTGTTCTTGTTTGTAAAGAACTGGGACATGAGGAAAGAGACGGAAATGGACACAATCCAGGCGTCGGGTCCCAGTCCCAGCGAGCCAGACTCCCACGGTGGCAGCAGCCCAGTCCCTCTGGTGATCTCCCAATTGCTGAGAATCTTCTTGCATTCGCTGTTCCCAGAGCACCAAGCCTGTC